GACCTAAGTACACGTGTGAAGATAGGAATGGTGTGACTCTACTTTGTGTGCAACCAGAGACATGAAAAATTGTGCTCTACATGTGTCCTATGAATTGAAATGCATTCTGCTGTCATGTATAACAAATTAGAATAAACAAATAAACTTTTTTTTAAAAAAAGCTGTTGACTTTCTTCAACAGCTGCGGGATGGGGACCTGTGTGCAGGAGATTTCACCCACTGGAGGAGCAAGGGGCAGAGTCGGAATATGTCCTTTCTGTGCACAGGAATACAAAGGAGCTTTCAAAATATTTAGAGACCTCAGTTTCTCGGAATGGACCCAAGCTTCTTGGACGGTTGCATATGATTAACTCGGAAAGCACCTAACCTTGCCCCTTTCTCCTTCTGGTGGTGAGCTGCATGTGATGCTCCCTGGGGGARGGTTCCCCAAGAGGAGGAGGCAGGTGGCGCAGGGCTGTGCATTTGCTGCACTCTGAGCTCCATTTTAACGTCTTAGTGACGTTGGCCTCCAGTGAGGTCTTCTTCAGGAATATGCTCCTGACCAAGAGCTTTGAGAAGAGCAGGGAGGGAAACTGAAAGAGTATTTTGGTGACACATGTAACTCTGGGGATTTTCATTGTGACTGTGTGTGGATGAGCCTTGGTTTAAGAAAAATCTGAGCAATTCAGCCGAGTATAAAAAGGAAATAAAAATACAGGAAGTCTCACCATCCAAAGCTTTGTACAGAGTGTTCCAAAAGCTCCCAATAAGATCATGATCATGTCTATAATTTTACAAAAAAGGAACCACACTACACTTTCAGACTGACAGATGCTTTCTTCATTTAGCACCATCGCTTGAAAATATTCCCGTCAGCAGCAGCACTTGTCTACATTATTCTTTCGGATGCTTCGGGGCACCCCAGCATATTGATGGACAGGCAAATGGTACAACCGTCGTCCATCTTCATGMATTTAGCTTTATGTTTCCCTGATTCCCAATCTAAACGAGATCCCTGTCATTATTTTCTCTCTCAACACCTTGTCTTCTGCCATAACATTAAAAAGTTATATTGATGACGGTGTGTRCGTTTCACGTTCCTGTCCCTGGTGTGGATCACAGGGCTCTACGGAAGCAGAGCTGTGACTGCTCTGTCCATTAGCAATGACCCAGAACAGAGCAGTTTGGTATGTGGTGAGCACTCAAAAACAGGCATTTTTTTAAAGCAGATATATTTTTATCAATAATGTCTAAATAAATGTTGCCAAATATAAAAAGCTGTACAGGGGCTGGGGATGTGGCTCAAGCGGTAACGTGCTTGCCTGGCATGCACGGGGAGCTGGGTTCAATCCTCAGCACCACATAAAAATAAAATAAAGATGTTGTGTCCACTGAAAACTGAAAAATAAATATTAAAAAATTCTCTCTCTCTCTCTCTCTCTCTCTCTTAAAAAAAAAAAAAAAAAAGCTGTACAAAGCATTAGTAAACAGGGAAGTTACACATGAGGTGGCATCTGCACCAGGCCAGTGAAAGTGTGACCGTTCACCCCCATTAAGTGTCAGAGGCACGTGTGACAAGGGGAGGGCACGTGCATCTAAACAGACAGGGGAGAAACACACCTGCCAATCAAAGAAAGGCCATGCGCTCCACTCCACAGTCCAGCCAGCTCCGCGCCTGCGCACAGAGTGCCCAGAGAAACTCGGCACCTACGCACAGAAGCCACGTGTGCAGTCACCTACAGTGGCCCTGTCCAAACACCCACCACAGGAGGACACACAACTCATGTGCTTTTGGATAACGGAAAACCGTGCAGCCGAGAGAACGATAACACAGCTGCATCCAGAGGAGGAATATCACCCCCAGGATGAACAGAAACAGCTTTGCAACTCTGTAATGATACGAGAGGGAGAAAGAAAGAAAGTCGGATAGACAGAGACGAGCCACATCAGGCCAAAGACAAAGAATCCAGTCTGTCAGGAAACAGAACAACAACATCACCTGCAAACGCTTCATGCCATAAAAATGGACTAAATAAAAAATATGAATTCATTAAAAGGAAATCTTGAAAATTATAAAACAATGAAAGAATGAGAAAGGATATTTCAAAGCTAAGAAGATGAAGATAACATCTTTATAGGACTAATAAAATTATAAACAGCAAGAATAAGACATCAGGAAGGAAATTAATATTGAAGATATGGCTCGAAAGAATCTCAACCACGGGGCTGGGGCTGGGGCTGGGGCTGGGGCTCGGGGGCAGAGTGCTTGCCTCGCACTGTGAGGCCCTGGGTTCGATCCTCAACACCACATAAAAATAAATAAATTAATTAATTAAAATAAAGGCTTAAAAATAAATAAGAATCTCAACAACAGCAGAGAACAGGACAGAAGGGTTAGAGCAGCTTGAGAAGGTGACAGTGTCCAAGACAAAGATGATCCAATACCAGGAGAACCGGTCAAGCCCCAGGGGAAGCCAGGTGGGTGGACGGGGGTGGGGGTGGTTCCCAGAACAGGACTCTTGCCTGATGGAAGGAAGAGTGAATCTGCCACCAAAGGCCTCAGTGTATCCCAGAAAACCACCTCCAAATCCTCCATGCTAGGACACGGCTTAGTTTGGCTTTTTAAATTTCAACGATGGTGGGAAAATGCTTTAAGCCTCCAGGTAGGAAAAGGAAATCAGCTACATTCGGAAAGAAATCAGGTGGACCCCAGGCTCCTCGCAGCRACAGGAGGCTAGAGACAGCAGATAAAACATTCACGACTTTATGAAGGAAACAAAGTGGGATGCAGAATCATACCCAGCCGAGTTGTTGTTCAAGGATAAAAGYGAAAGGCACACAGCCTCAAATGTGGAAAAAACAAAGGGAGTAAAGCCCCCTGAGCCTCTCCTAGGAAATGGCTCAACTACGAGAGGCAGCAACCCACACAGTCAGTCAAGATGAAGRTCCGGGAGGGCCACGCGTGTGGTGAGCCCAGAACCAGAGGGGCGCAGAAACTCAGGCCAGCCGAAACACAGGCCGTGGCAGGGTTGTGGAATGTGGCATCATAGACTCTGGGCATCCTGGGGCAGGGCGGAGCCCGGGAAGGCTGGGGGCCCGTCGCTGAGCTCCCTGGCGACAGCCAGCCCGGATGCCCATGCCAGCCCTGGGGACAGGCTTCAGAGGCAGACTCCTCTGGCTCACCCTTTGAGGAACTACTCTGTGTCTCGTGGGAAAGAACTCATCCAAAGTCCAGACATGTCCCGGGCTCCACCCGAGGAGCCTGGCAGGGTTAAGAGCAGGACCCTGAGCTCCAGTTGGCTCCCAAGGGCTCTAGACTCATGGCAAGTCATCTCACCGCCTCCTGCCTCTGCTTCCTCACCTGAAGGTGGAGAGGACAGCGGGGCCTGACCCACAGACCGTAGGAGGGCTGAATACTCAGGCCTGGGCARCCTGGGAGAGGCTGGTCACTACCGCCGTGGTATGCCTGCTTTTCTTCTGAGGAGCCAAGGACATTTAAAATAAATAGGCTTTGTTTTTTAAAAGGCGCATGATCCTCTTATACGATCATTTCCATCTGTGTGTCTGCTCACCCAGTGCCCACTGATGCAGTGCCCTTCTCTACATGAACAGGAAGTTCTAGAACAACGTTCACTGAAGGCTGCCTTCAGTGTTTCAGAATTGCACACATTTCTTGCAATGGGCATGCGTTCTATAACGGTCATGTTTTTATGAAAACAATAAAGCTGTTAACAAGAGCAACCTGGGAAGACATGTCTTAGCAAATTTCCAACGGACACTCAGGTGTCGATTCTCTAAAACCCTTAGCAACACTGGCTTTGTTAGTTTTTTCTTCATTGAAATTTTTCTATTGAAAATTTCGTATTATCAATTTGGGAGTTTATGTATGTTAGGAACAGTGATATTATATTTGTCACTTATGTTACATGGATTTTGCCACATTTACCTTATGTCTACACAAAGTTTTGCTGTATAAAAGTTTTCGTTTTCATATAGTCAAACTTTGCCTTTTTCTTTATGGCTTTTGGGCATTACTTCATGCTTAAAAGATGTTTTAAATTTCAAATTAAAAATGTTTTCACCCAGGCTTGGAGTATAGTGCAACGTTACAGCATTTCCCTAATGTGGTATGATCTCCAGCATAATAAAAATTTTWAAAAAACTAAATTTTATTTTACCCACATTTATCATTTTATATTTAAATGGCTCATGCTTATAAAATTTATTGTTGGGAAAGAGTAAGTATCTCAATTACAGTTTTTTAATGATCCAACCCCTGCCCCCACTATCTTGTTGAAATGCCGAATATCATCTGAGAAGTTTCTGTACATAGATGGACCTAGTATCCAGCTCATCTTTTAAATCCATCTGAATGTTCATTGCTGCACCCACACCATACTGTCTTAATTATTAAGCCTTTATAAAACATTCTGTATGTGGCAAGACAAGTTCTCTATTATAATTATTCAAAAGAAATAAGTATCCAGGCATTAATAGCAAATCTCCCAATCCCAATCAGGAAGAATCTCTGCATTTATTCAAATTTTCTTCTGCTACTCAATCAACCTGTGTCTGCTCCTCCTGTGTTACATAGTTCTTACTAGAATCRGTGAGAGTGACACAGAGAATGGACTTTAAAATTGACTTCTTATCACCACCACTGTGGTCAGTGCACAGGAATTACCAGGGGACGGTGGAGGTCTCCGGTTGCAGGAGATAGAGGTAGGATCAGAACCAAYCTGGGAAATAATGTCTGGCACTAACAGTTTTCTGGGTCATCTTCCTGCTCTGTTTTTCCTTCACGCCCTTCTGTGGCCTTAGGAGAACACTCACCTCTCTGCAAAACGTCCTTTCAATGTCATYCAAGGAGCAGTTGTCCCAGATGCTGTCAGAAGCCACGAAGCTGGGCAAGTGCTCCCTCCTGGAGAGTTTGGCTTGTTGATTCTCACRCGTGATCTCTGATAGGAAAGAATAAATGGAAAGCTTTAGTTTATTCACATTGTCAAAAGTACATTTAAACATTATTTCCTTTTCATCATCKCCTGTTTGATAAGAGTAAGACTTGAATAAACAAAGAAAATGATGAGCCATCTAATAAACTGTATTGAAATAGCTGGATGAACTGTTTAGAAAAAAAAAGTCAGTCTTCCACAGGCTACTCTAGAACCAGTTCTGGACAGAGTGAAATGTACACTAAGCAGAGTAATAAAACCATAAATGTAGTAGAAGAAAATTATGATGACAATTACATAATATATAACCTTTGTGTGAAGACTTTCCAAAGAAATCATTAAACCAGAAATCATTTAAATAATGGATAGGTCTGACAATATAAATATTTAATTTTTGTTTGGTTAAAAATTCACACAAATAACAGYGAAAAAATTGAGTGGGGAAAAGCTATTGTTAATATACATGAGAAATATAGGTCAATTTTCATAAAATATGAGTTTCTTTTATGAATCATTAAGATAAATATATTCAATAGATTATCTGTCTCTAACTCACTTCAAAAGAACTAGAAAAAAAATCCAGTAACTGTATGAGAAGTGCCGAAACTTTTAAAATTTTTAAAATCTAATTAAACCAGTTGGTATTTTTTCCTGCTTTTCAAATAGGCAAGGATGAAGGGCTGATAAGGACCAGTTCTGCTGAGTGCGCCGACCATCCTCAAACCCTTCCCCACACCCTGGACAATGGGGTAACGGCACAGGTGACCAACCTTACACGGGCCAGGTCACCCTGCACTACTTATAAGGGGAAAAAACGCAAACAGTCCAGATGCCCAGCAAAGGGGGCAAGTTGTGTGAAGTCGTGGCTCACGGAGCCTGGAGCCTGTGTAAGGGCACACGGACGCCGACCCCCAGGACGCAGGGCTAATGGTGAGCGCAGAGCTTCTCTGTGCTGCCTACTGTGTCACGATGGGAAAGAAAGACAATGAATTTAATTTTCCATCCACACCTCTATGGAGGTATCAGGAAACAAAAACCCAGGGCACGGATGCCGGAAGGAGCGCGGAGGTGGGGCTCAGGAGGCAGGATTTCAGGGGRTTGTTGTCTTGTGGTTTTGTATTTTCTGACTCTTGTCAAACAAGCGTGTGTTACTTTTATGATAAAAAAAAAAATAAAATAAATCTAAAATATAGCCATTTTCTTCCTCAGAGTCGACTGCAAAGAATCACAAATGGTTTCCCAGATTTATTTCCTAAAATGTCTGCATTCAGCCCACTCCATCCAGCTGCCGCTAGGTCTGCCCGTCACTGGGACTCTACCTCCAGCTCCAAAAAAAGCCAAAAACAAAGAAAGCCAGCCTCCCGCCGCGGGGCCCTCCGGGTGACCTCCTGGGCTCAGGGCTGCTCTTCGCAGCCGGCTCTGGACTAGAGGCAGCGGGCAGAGTCCTCAGGATGGGGGTCCCAGCCCCCAAGCCGCAGCACCCCTGGCCCAGCTCACCCGGCTGCCTGGCCGCCTGGCCCTTCATCCTGTGGTGACTCCACTTGTGATTCACAGGGACGGGGACACACACACACACACACACACACACACACACGGGCAGCCTGTCATCTGGGAACTCGCACTGGCTGGCAGGACCCAGGGCACCCTTGGTTATGCCAGGCCCCGTTCCCCAGTGCAGCCTTGTCCTTCCTGCCACCCTCGGGTTTCCGACACTCTTTCTGAAGGATTTTTTTCCAGTGCTGGGGATGGAAGCAGGACCTCCCATGTCCAGGCCAGAGCCCAACCACCTTGCGGAGGATCCCCGTCTGTTTGAACAGTATAAAGAAGTCTTTAGTGGCTGAGCTCTGTTCTAGGTGTGGAGAAGGAAAGCCGCCCGAGTCACCTCCTCACGTGCCCAGACAGATATAGTGGTGGCCTGGCAAGGACCAAGCATCCCCAAGACAGAAATAAGCAGAGATAGTAGAAAACACCGTTCCACGTTCAGAAAAGTCGAAGGTAAGGCACGCTGCCACCAGAGACCACCCCACAGAGCTGAGGACAGCACYGAATCCCTGCACAGCGCCTGGCAGATGGACCTTACATGACATTTCCTCCCCAAATGAATATACAGTAGCAGATTTCATCCTGTGGCTTACAGTTCACGGCAGGACTTCGTATTACAGCCAGGAATCACACACCGAAAACTTTAATATGTTGATTTCTATTTGTCAATTGTATCTCAATAAAGCTGCAAATAAATCATTGTAGAAATGCAGACTAAACTAAAAGGAATGAAGAGAATAAAACAGAAATAGAAAGTGAAATAAAGACTGTCAAGTAAAGAAAAAGAAAGGAGGAAGGAGGGAGGAGG